TATATATATAATTACGAGAAGGAAAGAGAGAGAAAAAGACAGATATAATATCTAAACCAAATATAGAAATAAAAAACGCGGATAATTGCAAAGAAATTTTTAGAAAAAGAATTCACGTAACATATAATATGACATTTTTGTTTGTTTTGCTGCTAATTTGTTCAACATCTCCCAAACTCTTGGATTGACGAACGATTCTCCATCCGTTTTCACTATACACAACCGAAACGTTCTCTCAGTGTTTCTTAAAGAACTCTGCCAGGCGCTTTTCACTTCCCTATTTTTGAAAAGAAAACGCTTTATCTTTCTTTTTCGCCGTTTTCCCGCCGTCATCGTAGTGCACTTACTTAGCACGAGCGGCCAATCTACCAAGTAACTGGTCTTTCAACCGGGTATCTCCGTGGAAAAGCTTCGAGTAGAGGCTGACCCTTCTCGGCAATCGCCGAGCTTAGGCGACCCGTTTCGTTGTACAGTCCATTATACAGTTTCGGTAGAGCATATATATCTACCAAAAAAAAATGTATTATATGCTTAAATAAAAGTAATTTTGCCAGTATGACTGGTTATATTAATAGGTTCACCTCTCAATAATTTAAATATTTAAAATATAAGCTTTAGCCAGTTTAGAATAGAAATTTGATTAAACTTTGTTTTTGAAACAGTTCTGTCAAAAGATCGAAGTCTTATTATTATGTGTGATTATTAATTTCTCCAACATAGTTATGTATTGAATAAAAATAAAAATTTATTTATTATTATTAATTTTAGTATATTTATTATTAATATACAGGGTGAGTTTTGTAACTTGAAACTGTAAAATATCTCGGAAAGTAAGCTTTATCGAAAAAAATGTTTCAAACAAAAGTTATAGGGTTCGGAGGGGGCCACATGATAAAAATATGGATTTGACCTTGAGTGACCTTTTCAAGGTGAAATCAATGTGATCGACGTTTTCGATAAAGCTTACTTTCTGAGATATTTTACAGTTTCAAGTTAAAAAACTCACCCTGTATATACACATTTTATATTTATTAATGTATTTCATTATTTATTTATTAACATTATTAGAACACTACATTAAAATTGAGAGAAAGAAATGAAAAAACTTGGAATAAGAATCTTGGAAAATTCGTCATTGCAAATGAAGTAGCTGTACATTACTTCGAGTCTATCGACATTACATGTAATGGATCTCGTTTCTTGTCGATGAGAACCAGGTTTGCCAAGACGGTGTCTATAGTTATAGTTGATTCGAAGACCAGTTATATTCGCTAGATTGGCCATTTCTGATAAGTTAGTGCCTGCGAACCTTCGAGTAGAAATCGCGGGAATTCTGAGGGAAAGAAAGATGAACGTTTTCTTCCTCGAATGAGCAAACGCGCCGATAAAATCTTTGGCAATCTTTTCACAGACTTGCGGCAAATTCTCTTTCAACCGTAAAGAAAAACGTGCTCTCCGATACGCTAC